TAAAATTTAATTTAAAAAAATTTTTTAAAAAGAAATTTAACAAGGATGCAGAAGATCTAAATTATACATTCAGCTAACTGGACCTTGTGTTTGTATCAGGGTACTGAACCCAACTAAAAGTCCATTCACTTGATTCTCAAGTGCACATGACGCATTTTTCAGAACTGATTACATATTAGGGCACAAAGAAAGTCTCAACAAATTAAAAAACATTGAAACTATGCAAAATATCTTCTCAGACCACAATGCCATAAAACTAGAAATTAACCACAAGAGGATAAAGCTTATAAAACCACCAATATGAAAATTAAATAACACCATGCTAAGGCAGTCCTCAGGGGCCAGTTAGTATGTAGCAATAGACAAACACATGAAAAATGAAGAAAGAAGCAAAGTTAAGGATCTAACTCAACACCTTCATCAACTAGAAAAATAAACAACAATCTAACACCACAGCTTCCAGAAGAAAGGAAATGATAAGAACAAGAGCTGAAATCAACAAGATAGAAAGTAGAAAAACAATTAAAACTATCAACAAAAACAGGAGCTGGTTTTTGGAAAAGTTCAACAAAATTAACAAACTAGCAGCAAACTTAACAAAAGAAAAAAGAAAGACATTAGTAACTATTAATTAATGATAAAGGTGATATCAGAACAGATGCAGAGGAAAAGAAAACTATAAGAATATTAAGAAAAGCTATATTTTGATAAATTTGAAAACTTAGAGGAAATGGACAAATTTCTTGAAACTCATGCCCTATCCAGAGTGACACAGTCAGATGTAGAACACTTAAACAGATCCATCACGAAAGGAGAAATTGACCAGGTCATAAAAAGTCTCCCTGATAAAAAAAGTCCTTTTCCATAAGGTTTCAGGATGATTTCTACCAAACATTCTGAGAATATCTACCATCAATTCTCCTTAAAGTATCTAAAAAAATATATATAGAAAAAAGGAACACTCCCAGAGACATTCTACGAAGCAAGCATAACCCTAAAACCGAAACCATGCAAAGATATTACCAAAAAAGAAAAATATCTATTCAATGATATATTCAAGTTGATCAAAAAAAATTTTGTGAATATCTGTACTAGGGAGAGGTATTAGAAGCATTAGCTGTTGTTTAATTTTTCTAATGCTCATGTTTATAAATCATTTCTTTTTCTCCTATTGCTTTTCTCTGTCCATTATTGTCCCTGCAGGAACTTTACTCATTTGTCATTGTTTCTCAACCTCCTAAAAGCAGATATATGCACAATGTTTATTGTTGCTTTGCTCACAGTAGCAAAGAGTTGGAACAAACCCAAGTACCCATCAACAAATGAATGGGTAAAGAAGCTCTGGTATATTCACACAATCGAATACTATGGTGCAATGAAAAACAAGGAACTCATGAAATATTATACAAAATGGGTGACCCAGGAGGAAATTATGTTGAGTGAAATATCTCCATCACAAAACGATAAATGCTGCATAATGCCACTATTATAAAAGAGGACATAGGGATTGGGGAGAAACTGAGAAAGGGGATAAATGATGTATTGAATGGGATTTAAACAGATGAGGGATAGAATTGTTTAAAAGGGATATATGATTAGGTATTATTGTCATGACAGTAGTCCAGAATGAAGGCTGCACAGCAGTGGAGTGAACTTGGGTAGAGGGATTGTATAACATTGAAAGAATTTTACATTTACTTTTCAAAGAGAAGAGCGAATTGGGAGGAGGGACAGGCAGAGAGAAAAGTACAACAATGAATAAATGGAAATCCAAAGTCTCTGTAAAATTCATTAAAACTAATTAAAAAAAGAATGCTTGAAATACAAAAGACTCTAACAAACAGCTATTGAAGGAATATATTCAAATTATGTTATTGATTTTTTCTTAAATATATAGACAGTATAATCTTATCCATTAAACAGACTCAAGATTTTAAAAAATTAAACTGCTTTCAAAACATAAAATTGTTTCTATTATTGTTGCAGAGATATCTATGCTACTGTTAAAGTGCTGTAGAAGCTATTCATAATACTTCTTAGGACTAAAGTTATCCTCATACTTGATTGGTCAAATTAAGTAAGTTAACATAAATGTTTCTAAACAGTTTTTAACCTGTTTGTGTCGTTATTGTTTATATCTATTATTTTGAATGCAGAACTTACTAATATTTATGGGCTGAACTGAAATTGGAGGTGACTGAAAAATTACTCCACCAGCTGTGATTTCCAAATGCATAAGATACGTAGAGTTGAGGTTGGATGCTGACACAGGTATATGACATTCACAACATTGATGAGTACTGCAGGTGCACTGAACAGTTGTAAAACTACTTTTTTGTAGGAGTAGAGATAAATCTTCTATCACCTCCGATCTATAGTAGAAAAATAAGAGCAAAGAGTTAACAAACATTTGTAATTTTTTAATAGGTTTAAAAAGAACTCCATATACATTGTGTTTCATGTTATCCTTCATTCACACTGTTTCATATAATCATTCTGATTAATTTTACTCTGTAAAATTAATCAACATTGAACTATGTCCACCAATGCCCTGTCTTTCCAGATCCCTGCTGGATCTTTCCCATTTCTTTTACCCATCCCACTCTCTATCTATCGGATTGTACAACCTTATGATTTCTGCCCCACCCATCTTCACCTCTCTGCTCCTATTCTCCCAACCTTGGATCCTCATAGACATTTTATTAGTTATCTATTTCTAAAGTAATGATTTTTATATGGTACTTGACTTTATGTGACAGAGTTTGTGCACTCAGCATAATCCTCTCCAGTCCCTCCCAAGTTACGGAGTAACTCAAAACCTACTACACAACTTTAATAACCAAAACAGTATGATACTAGTACAACAACAGGCATATAGACCAATGGAACAGAATAGAGAACCTAGATATTAATCCAATTATTTATGGCCAACTGATATTTGTCAAGGTAACAAAACCTATCACATAGGGAAATGGCAGCCTCTTCACCAAATGGTGTGGGCAAAACTGGGCTGCTACATGCAGCAAGCTGAAGCAGGATTCATACCTCTATCCCTGTGCAAAAATAAAATCAACTTGGATAAGAGACCTAGGGGTAAATCTCAAAACCATACAGATTATAAAAGGTTAAGTAGGAGCAACTTAAAAGGTTTAATCCATAGTATAAAAATGCTGGAAAATAAAGCCAGAAATAAACAACCAGAAAAGATAAAAATGATGAATGGGAGCGTCTAAAGATTAAATCCCTGTGTTCATCAAGACCTTTTCCTGTCAGGATGAAAAGAAAACCTACTGACTAGAAAAAACATTTAGCAATTCCATCTCAGATAAGGGTCTTATAACAAAAGTTTACAGCCTACTACTTCTGGGCCTCCAGAAAAAAGGAAAAAAAAAGACCAATAACAAAACTACAAAATAGGCAAAAGACATGGAAAGACCTTTCAGAGAGGAAGACATCCAGATGGCCAATAGACACATGAAAAAATGCTCAAAATCACTGAAAATAAAAGAGATGGAAATCAAATCACAATGAGATACCATCTCATCCCTGTAGCAGTGTCAAAGTTTAACAATAGAGCAAGCAATAAATGTTGGAGAGGATGGAGAGAGCTAAGAACACTCACACATTGTTGGTGGGATTGTAAACTAGTAAAACCACTCTGGAAGGCAGTTAGGCATTTCCTCAAAAAGCTGAACATAAACATTCCATATGACCCTAGTATTCCACTGCTTGGAATACACCTCAAGAAAATTAGGACTGAAATACAAACAGAGATATGTACACCAATATTCATAGCAGCATTATTCACTATCCCAAGAACAGGGATGTCCAAATGTCAAACCACAATTGAATAAACTGAGAAACTGTGGTATAGTCACACAAGGACACACTGCACAGCTGAGGAGGAATGATACAAGAAATTATTACATAATTTGTCCTGTCTTTCTTATAGTGGTATACTCATGTACAAGTTCAAATTTAAGCTGAAGAAAAGGGAAATGTATCTATAAGAACCAAAATTCAATCTTGAATCTATCTAAATGGAATTTTTAAAACAATTTTAAGACCACATTAGATTTACTGAACATTAAAGGCCAAAAACATACACATGGGATGAAATCAAGGACATCATTTACGAAGAAAGCAACATGTCATTGGAAAGACAGGAATGAAAATATCAAAATGTATGGCAGAAGAAGACTCTGAAAATTGCACTAGAACGGATAGAGGCCAAAACAATGGAAAGAAATGCAGAAGCAACACAGATGAACAGATGAATACAGGAGAAGAAAAAAGGAACAGAAATGCAGCATTAGAAGGCAAGACAAAGTACTGTAATGAATTGTGCAAAGAGCTGGAGTTAGAAAACCAAAATGGAAGAACTCGCTCACATTACTCAACGAGAAAAACAATCAAAGACTGTTGTTGTTTTTCTTGTTATTGATGATGATGATTGCCATTGAATGGAGCACAACTCATAGCAATACTAAGAACAAAAGACCTGAATGAAGCTTTTCTATAATTATTATTGTTTTCAAAGTTCACAGTTTCCTGAGCCACTCCTGCTTCCAAAGCTGTCTTAAACTGGGAGCTCCACTAAACACTGTCCACCATAAGTGACCGTTATGGCATTGAACACCCCAATGGCACAACGTTCAGGATCACAGCAACCGCAGGTTACCTCAGTATAGCAAACTGACAGAAGAGTGATGTAACACTTAAAAGAATGTTCTTCCAAAATATAATAACAATGGACTTTTAAATACAATTGCTCTCCATCAGGTCTTGTTGACTCTACACAATAGACTTACATAAAAATCCACCAATATTATATGCTGCTGTTGTTGTTAGCTGCCTGTTGTTGAGTTGCCTGGGACATCCCTATTTACAGCAGCTCTGAACCCTTCCCTGTCCTGAGCCAGTCTATTTCTGACACACCATGCCTCACTGTCCCAGTTACTGTATCAATCCATATAATCCGGATCTTCCTCTCTTGCCCTGTCCCTCCACCCTTCTGAGCATGATGTCTTGTCTCTGCTGACCACGTGCCCAAAGTATGTGAGACGGAATTTCAAAAACCTAGCCTCCAAGGAGAGATTTGGTTTTACCCTCTCCAAGATAGACAGATTTGTTTTCTTGGTAGTCCATGGTATGTTCAAGACTCTTCTCCAGCACCACAACCCAAAGGCATCGATTCTTCTTCTGTCATCCTTATTCACTGTCCAATTCTCTGAAGCATAAGGAGTAATTGGGAAGAGCACGGCCTGAATTTGGTGCACCTTTGTCTCTGGGAGCACCTCAAAGGCAGAAATCACAATTCTCACTCTTCATAGGAGTTTCTAGCACACTATACCTCACATAATGTATCTCAACTGTAGAATTAAAGAAGTCAAGTCTCATTCTCCAGAAACAACAAGAACAAATGAAAAATCATTTCATAGCATGAAAATGTATATAGAAAAGGTATGAATAATGACGAAATTATTAGAAAAACTGAATGACATATTAAAATCACAACCAGACCACTTGCCTTGGAGTCGATTCTGATTCATGATGCCCCATGTGTTTCAGAGAACTGTACCTTACAGCATTTTCAAGGCTATGGCCTTTTAGAAGCAAACCATCAGACTTATCTTTCAATGCAACTCTACATGAGGTAGAACCACCAACCTTCCAGGTAGTAGAACACTTAACCATATATATCACTCAGGGACTCTAATAAATGATGTATTAGCTTTTTGAATTATAAATTTCTGTTATTTGAAATGTCCACCTGGAAAATGTGTGGTAAATAAATCAAATTAAAAAGTTTTCTTTTCTACTCAATTGTCTAGAGTCCCTTTATTGAAGTCCCATTTCAAAACAAAAGCACATCCATGTCTGGAATATTCTGCTACCTGAATTAATAGGTGGAGGTAAGAAAGAATCTAATGGAGGACAATATTAATACAAAATTAATCTACAAACTGCTCCCTAGAGATGTACATAGAAATAAAAGAAAATGTAGGGATGGGAAACGATTTATAACTCAATTTTGCATGTGTAAGTTCTGGAATTTCAAAATGAAAACAAAGCAGCTTTGTATACTATATATAGTCAAATTAATTTATTATATACTTACAGAACATATAAAGCATGGATCTTAAGGTCATTAGTCTTGAAAGGATTCTGAAGTGATGACTCCATATAACAGATAAATAATTCCAAGTCCCTTTTCATCCAGTACTGTATGTTCCAGTTTGCACCTGAATTAAAAATAAGCTGCACTATATCTGAAAAACATTCTAAATAACTCAGTGAAAGGGAAGAGCTAAATTGAATTTACCAAAGTTCTAATACCATGTCCACTGGCCATTCTGATAGAAAGAGAACTGTCTCTAGCTGGTGGCATAAGTCCTTCCAACTCATTTATTCCCATATGCCCACAGTTTCTTTCTTTTCTAGTACAGTTTAAGAAAATATATTCTATCACTGGCTCATAAATTGGGTTAGGGTGGGTTTTTTTTATCTTGAATCACTTAAGTAGGACCAAAGACATCAAATTTCAGGCCATTCTCACTTTTGAAGGAAAAAAGAATGCTTATATGCCAAAGTACAAGCACTTTTGAAAGGACCTTTATGTGTCTGCTTTAGTAGCAAAGGCACAGTGATTCACATTTGAACTATGACACAGGTCTTAAAATCTTAGCACTATATGATGTTTTTATGTACTGTCCAGTCAGAACTAACCCATAGCTGACCCTATGGAGGGTTTTCAAAGATAGTTAGTTGCCAAGGAAGAGAAGGCCCATCCTTCTCCCACAGAGTGGTTGGTGGCATCCAACTGTCTGCCTTTGGGATTAGAGCACAGATTTCCAATAGGCCACCAGAGCTCCCATTTAATATGACAGATGTGAAATACAAAAGATGAAAGAGTTAAATTTCTTATTTCCTATTTCATTAAAAACTGAGATAAAATTTGACTGAAAATCAGAATTAATGATGCTGATGAGATATTGATGGTTTGTCATTCAAAACACAAGAAGAATAAAAACAGACTTAGTACCATATTAATGTCCTCTAAAGCAAACTGTACTTGGCAGAGTAATAAATTTAAATCCTCATAAACTTTCAATTAACTAAGCAATTTTAGATATAAAACATTAAATTCATTTAGAAATTTATCTAGTAGTCTTAATCTTTACTTGAAATTAAAACCTATTGCATCATGGTCACACATTCCCACTCCATCCTTCATAACTAAAGAAAAGATTAACATATCAAGGCCCAGAACAAGGGCCTCAACTTCTCAAGTTCATTCTTAGGATACCGAACAATTAATAAGTTGGAAAATTCTTTCATACTTTAAAATAATACTTTATTTATAGTCAAATTAAATAGCTGTAAGTTCAATAAGGGACACTGGATATTATAACTGCCAAGTGGTTTTGAAGTCTGAATTTATCCTATTCCTGTTTTATCCTTATTCCTTACTGCTTGCAGCTTACTGATATGTTTCTTTTTTTCTAATCAGTGATGCTCAACTTGAAGTGCTGTAGCCTTCCAGGGTAGGGAACACCCGAGAATATCTGGGATAAGATTTGATTGTCACAACTGGGAAAAATACTACCAGTACCCCATGGGTAGAAGCCAAAACTACTGTTAAATCATCCTAAAATATTCAGGACAGTTTCTCACAGCCAAGAATTATCAGGTCCAAAATGGCACTGCTGCTGAAGGTGATAAACCTCTATTAACCCTACTGAGCATGCTATACTTAGGGAGTCTTGTAAGTTTCTTTATATTCCTAAACTGACTGCCCTATTTAACTTCTCCAGTGCTACTGGATATGATTCTGTTTAGATTTCCAGATGTAACATTCCTGACTACACTAACTATGCACAGTATGCACTGTATTTTATAAAATTTTATTTGGGATATGATCAGATGATTGCCTCTACTTTTATTGTCAATACAAAGTGATGATATTTGTTAACAAACTATTCACATAATTTTTGAAAGATTACAACACTATTCTATAAGTTTGAATATAGTAACTAGTGCTTAGAATATTAAGTACTTACCAATTTGTTGAAAATTTAAAGAATTTACTCTTGAATGAAACATTTTCCCATCTGCATTTATAGAGCAGTTTTTATCTTGCTCACTCCAAAAACAGCAATGTGAAATTGTTTTGGGAGATAAATTAGAAAAGTAGGTAGCACTGGAATTAACATTGGCTTCAACAATTGGTTTGTCATTTCCATTTAAACTTGAAGTGTTCTTTGACATTCCTTCAGGAGACGAGGGTAAGTCATAGGTAGTGTTTGGAGCCATGCAAGACATCTTCAATCTCCAAGGAATACTCGGATATGACAAATTAAATGCAGTTATTGCATAAATGCACTCTGTTGAAATAATTTTTAAAATATGGAAAATAGTTAATTTTCAATAAAATTAGGAAATATCTGATCAAGTTAAATACAGTTATTACATAAATAGACCATTAACACATTAAAAGGACAAAAACAATCTTTTTGGTGAAGCTATAAATGGGAATTATATGAAAATTAATTCTGTTTTACTAAAAACAAAAATGAAACACTTCTAACTCATTTCTATGTAGTTAATTCCAATTTGTAGATGACCCACCAGGAGGTTTTCAGAAGTTATAAATCACATAAGCAGAAACTCCCATCTTTCAACCACTGACCAACTGGTGGATTCAAACATCCAGAGAGGCTCTAGCATCACAGCTCCCTGTGAACGATGGCACCAGAGCTTTCACATTGTACTTGGTAGTGACTGCTCTCTTTCTAAGTGTCCAAACGATGCCTAAAGCATAGCTCTGTGCTTCCACTTTACAAGGTGGTGTTATACTTGAAATAGTACATTTGTTTTATAGGAATAAATTAACTTTCTGATATCCCTTTCTACAAATTCTCACCTTATTTTCCCCATCAATTTCATATCTTATATTAACATCTTAATGACAATAAATTATAGTTAATGTGTTCCTTTTTAAAAACGGAATTATTTTTTATGAACAGGGGGTGAAAATATGGGAAAGATTCAATGTGAAAAGCAACGTATATTATCTTTGTAAATAAACCAATATAAAATAAAAATTTAAAAACAAATAAAAAACTGTAGCTATTCTAACTAAATTCCAGTATAAATGAAAAATACTAGTGTTAGCAATTACATAAGCAAATTTAAAGTCCTTCTTACTTCTTAAAGAATAATACTAAAATGAAAAGACTATTTTCTACTATTTTGTGTGAAATGCTATTGCATGTATTTTTAATGTTTTATTATTATTATTTTGGTAAAACATTGAAGAGCAAATTAGGTTTCCATTCAACAATTCAAACACATTTTGTTTTGTGACATTGATTGCCATCCCCACAATGTAACATCATTTGTCATTGTCTTCTTTCTATTTACCCTTCTTTCCTGCCCCTTCCTACTTTTTGAGCTTTGTTCATGGGCAAATGCTGCCCCTTAGGTCTTCTATGGTTGATTGATCTAAGGAGTTCAAAGCCCATGGTATTATAGTTCGCTTTATAAGCTTACCTACTGTTTGCTTGAAAGCTAATCTATGAGAGTAATTCAGTTTCTGGCCACAGTCTTAAAAATTCCACAGAGTTAAGATTTCTTTTTCAAAATTATTTCAGAAATATTTGCCTGTCAGTTTCAGTGTAGGTGGATGATCTTCTCAATCTACCCATGATCTTCTAGATACTAAAACATCACATAGGACTATCCTGAACTAACTCTCCAAAAATACAGTATACATAGAATAAAATTCTTATTGAAAATTTCTACTACTTATTAAAGAATATCATTATTAAAAAATTAATAATTATATAATCATGTGCACAGTCTTTAAAATTCAAGTTTATAAATATATTATGATGGTTAAATTATCTTAATTCTTTTTGACAAATGATTCTCCACTATATTTTTTACAAGTGACTTGAAGAATCCAAACCCTGAAAAATTAAGGTGCCATCAACTCAACTATGCCTCAAAGTCTATGAAAAACAGATCCACATAGTGTCCTTTTCTGTACCAACCACACAATCTCCACCTCATTCCATCTCATTGTTGCCATCATCGTGTCAATACATCTTGTTGAAGGTCTTCCTCTCTTTTGCTGACCCTCTGTTTCCCAGAATGGTTTTTTCCAAGGACCGGCCTTTCTTGACAACACATACTACAACACACACAAAGTATACCCTTCCTGATACCATGCCCAAAGTATATGAGATGAAGTTCCACCGTTCTTATCTCTAAGGAACACTCTAGTTGTACTTCTTTGTTTACAGGTTTGTTTATTCTTTTGACTACCCATGGTATATTCAGAGGCATCAATCTTCTTCAGTCTTCTTAATCCATAATCTAACTTTCTAAAGCACTAGAAGCAACTGAAAATACCATGTCTTGGATGAGGCACACCTTAGTCTTCTAACTGTCATCCTTCTTCTTTAGCACTTTAGAGATCCTTGACAGCCAATTTTTCCAGTGCAACTAAAATAGTTTTTGATTGTGGATCCAAGTAAGGTGAAATCCTTCATGTCTTCAACTTTTTGTACACCTATTATGATACTGTGTATTGAGCCCATTGTATTTTCAGGGTTTTATAATATTAAAGTATAATTTAAATTGATGATGATAGTCTTTGTGAACTGACCTAACTGCAATAAATGTTAAATAAAGAAAATTGAAAAGAGATGCCATATATTCTCATCTGGTAGGGCACAGAAAGTAAAGGAATGACAATAAATAATCTTTTCCAGAAATACAATTGAGACTATAAAATAGACAAAAGTATGTGGAAGAGATTTCATAATCTCTATAAAACTTTTACGTATATGTACACAACATAGATACTGTACTTCCGAAATTAACCTACTGTAATATTCAACCAAATACAAAAAAAAGAAAAATGAATTTTCAAGCAATATTGCTTATTAGAGAAAAAGAAATGTCTATAAAGATAATTTGGTCAACTATACCACTAATTTAAGATACAGTTACAAAACAAAAAACCTGTCATCAAGTAAGAACTAATGCATAGCTAAACCTCCAAAGATTTTTCAGACACTGAAAATCCCATAGGAGGAGATCTTTCATCTTTCTCCTGTGGAGCAGCTAAAGAACATTGTAATACAGCCATGAAACAAGTAAATTAATAAATACTAACAAAAATAGCTGTCATAGAAAAGTGAATGAATGGAAACAGGGAACCCAAGGAGAAAGATAAAGAAGCTTGTTACGTTGAGGGAATTGCAAACAAAGTCAGGAAACAAAATAAGTATATATTGTTACATGCTAAACTAATATAAAAACTTCCACCTAAAAGAATTTTTTAAAAGATGGCTACTTTGATAAATTGAAAGCTTTTAAGTGTAAAAAAAGCAAATTGCAGAACTATGTACGTGTGTTTGTCTAGTACAATAAATATTTCTTTAAAAGTATACATTATTGAGTTGGTTCAGGAAAGTGAGAAAAATTTATTTTCACACAGCTTCCTGAGGACTAGCAAAAGATCTTCAGGGTCACAATCATATATTTTTGTTGTTGTTGAGTTTCCATTAGATGAGAAAAATTCCAAAATGAAAATGAGAAATTCTCTTAACCAATAAAGGAAAGGGTATTTTTAAGGGTAAAATATCTACCTTCAATAGACATTAAAATGGCAAATAACTTACCACAAAGCAATACCACCAAACAGAATTTTTGACAATTCATCTTACTTCAAAGAAGTGGACCTGAAAAACAATAAGTTGAAAAGAATAACATGAGCAAAGAAAAGAAAAATTTTGCATATACATGACATACCTATGGAAAACATGAAAAAGACTAAATAACTCTTTCCGTTGTAATTCTCTGCATCTATATCAGAGAGATGACTCACATGAAAATGTAAGTTATTTATTCCTATAAAAATGATATCTTAAAGAACTAGACATAAACCATATAATAAAAATAATAATGTATATTCAATATTCTTTTATGGTATGCTCACAATATTTATTAAGTATATAACAGCCAAATTAACATCATATTCTTCATACTTTTCTTGCTCATTTTTAAATGTCTCCTATTTTCTAGAGGCATTATCTTTGCTGTAATACTATAAAGCTGAACATTATACTATAGGCAATAATTAGAGAGAGGGTCTGCTACGGGTTGGTAAACAACAACAACATAGTGTATATTCAATAAAGTGGAGAGCTTTTTCCAACGTGCTTTGAAATTCCTAGCTCATATACTGTTTAGGTTAATGTTCATGTTAGAGAGCAATCAGAGTAACCCAGTTTTAATCGGGTGGTTTAACAGATCCAAATTAGAATATTATCAACAAAATTCCTCATAAATTCTGTTCATTTTCAACATATCAGAAAAAAAGATTATTTGTACTACCATGCCATGGACAAGATTTGTAACATAAATTTAATATATTAAGTGTTTAGCTTTGTTAGGAAATACTAAAGGGTTCTGATGTTCCTTTTTGTGCTTTAGCTAAAATAAGAATGTGATTCACAACATGGAAGTAAACTTAGGTTAGAAGGTGTCAGGAGAGCAGAGACAGTCCATCCTCTCTCACTAAATAATCAGCAGAAGGACTGAAGGCATCACCTTTCTAAACCTCAAGTCCCTCATCTATAAATCAGATCATTTGGTGATCTCCGTAATCTTTTTCACAGGTGCCTCTGAATCTAATTATATGGTTGTTATTAGGGTGTCATTCTGTTGTTTATGACTGAGAGCAAGCCTATGAACAACAGATGTGAACCCTGTTGAATCCTATATTTTTATAGGGTTTTCAAAGTTCTATTATTTAAGAAGTGGATGTCCATCTTGTTTTCTAGTCTGTCTTAATCTCCGAGCTCTACCAAAATCTGTCCACGAACGGTAAGCTTTATGGCATTTGACACACCAGCGGCAAAGCTTTCAGTATCACAACAATTCCAAGTTATCTCAGTACAGCCAACTGACAGACAAGTGCTGGACTACTTAGAAAAATGTTATTTCCAAACACAATTAACACTTGATTATTAAAGAAATAAAAAGCAACCAAAATAGGTTATACTCGACTTTCTTTATTTTCTTGTTAGAATTTTTTGTTTGTTTGTTTTATTTAAATTTATTATTAATTTCAGTAAAAATTTACAGAGACTTTGGATAAATTAAATCAAAACAATCTAACCTCCAGAACCGAACTGCTTCACCAGACTCTATATTATTAATATTACAGAGATTTGCCACATACAAACTTACACAAAAAACAAAGTATAAAATATAAATAGAGAAATATGTCTCACATTCATATCTGAGAAGTGACACTATATATTGATTAAATAGAAATATGTGTTTATTTTAATGTATAAGTGACTTTCGGGGGTGGGGAAAATGAATGAGCTCACAATGGGCAATATTCCAAAAGTACATAAAAAATAATTTATCATGATCAAGTAGGATTTATAACAGGTATGCAAGTATAGTTCAACATAAGGAAAACAATTAATGTACATAATGACACCAACAAAGCAATGACCAAGCACCACATGATCTTATCAATTGATGAAGAAAAGGCCTTTGACAAAATTAAAGAGCCCTTTCTAATTAAAACACTAAACAAAATAGGATTAAAAGGGAATTTTCTCAACATTGTGAAAAGTATATATGCAAATCAAAAGCCAACATTGTTGGAGAAAGACAAAAGGCATTGCACTTGAGAACAGGAATTAGGCAAGGATGCCTACTATATCACCTCTCCTATTCAATATAGTATTGGGACGATTAGTGAGAGCAATAAGACAAGAAAAGGAAGTAAGAGGCATACAAATTGGTAAAGGGAAGTTAAACCTATCTCAATATGTAGAAGATATGACAGTAAACTTAGAAAACCCTAAAGATTGAATGAGAAACCTTGCAGATAGTCAACATGTTCATCAAAGTAGCAGGGTTTAATATCAATATAAAAAAAAAATCAGTTCAACCTCTTTACAGTGACAAAGAGAATATAAAAATGGAGCTAAAAGGAAAAATATCAATTACAATAGCTAACTACAAGTTGACATACTTGTGAATAAATCTAACTAGAGATACATAAGACTAATACACAGAAAATGACAAAATATTACTACAAGAAATAAAAAGAGACCTGGAAAAATGGGAGAATATATCATGCTCATGGATAGGAATAGTCAATATTATGAAAATGACAATTCTACCAAAGAATCAATGCAATCCCAGTTCTGATACCAATTCCATTTTCAACTAGATTGAAAATGCAATTTCTAATTTCACCTGAAATGGAAAGATACCTGCATTAGCAAAATATGACTAAAAAAGAGAAACAAGGTAGGTGGCATCACACTCCCTGATTTCAAATCTTACTACACAGTTGTGGTGGTCAAGAGAGCATGGTACTGTTACAGCATGGGACACGCAAATCAATGGAATAGAATTGAGAACCCAAAAATTAGCTCATCCACCTACGGTCAACTGAATTTTGGCAAAGAGATGAAATCAGTTAAGTGGGGAAAGGACAGTCTCTTGAACAAATGGTACTGACCAAATTGGAAAACCATCTGAAGAAAAATTAAACAAGACCCACACCTGACATTTAATATAAAAACCAACTTAAGGTGGGACAGGCATCTCGGAGTAAAACCAAAATCTATAAAATCCATCAGAGAAAAGTTGGGAAAAACTCTAAAAGCTCTAATCCATGGCATGGAACAATGTTCCAAGAATAAAAAACCTAGAACCAGGAGAGAATAAAATAGATAAATGAGATCTTCTAAGAATCAAATAACTATGCACATCAAATAACTTTTCCAACAACGTAAGAAGGAAAACCACACACTGGTGAAAATTATTTGACAGTAACATATTTAATACGGGACTTATATAAAAAATGAATAGAATACTTGGACTGCAGTAATTGCCTAACAGAGAAGGCTGCTAATTCACGGGTCATATCTCTGCCCAAATGAAATCTTCCTTTGAGTAAAAAAAAATCAGATAGAAACTCAGGTAGAGTAGGTACCACACTCTCCTCTGCAGCAGTGACTTCCTGAACCAAGGTTTTTAGACCAAGAGCCTGCTAAGGCCTCAGGAATGAAAAGCTCTACCACATCAATGACACAGAAGAAGCAGACTACCTTACACAGTACACAAACACACAAAAAGATGTCATAAAAAAAGTGACACAGTATTAATGGATTTTCTAAAGCCATAATGGCTGATGGAATTTTCTGACACGTTCTTTAAAAAAAAAAAAAACGCAAAAAAAACAATGGATGAATATTTTTAACATGTGCAAGAGAAACTCTAAAAATTATAGGACTCTCCAAGCAAAGATAGAGAGGAACTTATTAAAAAAAGACAGTTTAAGATAAGCAGATAAAACAAATGAGGCATTAGAGACTCTTGAAAAACAAGAAATCACAGTCCAGAAGATGAGGGCCAATGTTTCAGATGCTGTCAACATATTGGAGGGATATATGAACAGAGTTGAAGAGAACACAGAATCAGAATATAGAACTGTCACCACTGATCAGTTAGCACAAAAAAGCAGACTCAATAAGGAAGGATAAAGAAGAAAGCTAAAGAATGATGTGAGACACCATCAAGAGAAATAACATGTGCACAGATTCCAAGAACAGGAAGAATCAATAAAGGCAATGAGATAGTTGTGGAAGGATTACTAGAAGAAAACTTTCCAGGCATAATGAAGAATGAGAGAATATATATTCAAAAAGCTGAGTGACCACCACATAGAATAAACCCCAAAAGTAAAACAGTAAGGCATATCACAGTCAAATTTGCCAGAACCAAAGGACAGAATTCCAAAAGTGGCTAGGGAAAACAAAGAGTAACCTGTAAGAGAGAGCAAAGAAGATTAAACACCACTTTCTCAGCAGAAATCATGTGAGCAAAAAGACATTGGCGTGAAATATATAAAACACTCAAACAATACAATTGTTGATCAAGAATATTGTACCCAGTAAAACTGTCCATCAAATATGAAGGAGAGATCAAGATATTCTCAGAATAGCAGACTATAAAGGGAGTTTGTAAAAAACAAGACAAGCATCACAGGAAACACTGGGAGAACTCTTACTTACAGAGGTGTCACAGAAAGCAGGATGGACCAAAGTAACCAGCAACACGAAAAATAACTCAAAAGTGATAGCAATAAAACCTTGCCTCTCAATAATTACACTGAATGTGAAAGGTTTAAATGCACCACTAAAGAGAAAAAGAGTAGTAAATTGGATTAAAAACACAAAACAAAACTGCATCAATATGTTACTTACAAGAGACACATTTGAAAAATAAAGATAAAGAAAGAATAAAAATAAACGGGTGGGCAAAACATATACCAAGCAAGTTCGCCCTCTCTGCCATGTTGCCCTCCATTCTCTGTGTACAGTGAATTAACTACATATCTACCTTAAAAATATCTAGTGTGTCCTGATCAGTCTCTTGCCTAGAGCACTAGACTGTGCCACCACTGCCTGGCAGCCCCCAGCCACCACCCCAACTAGAGACCCTCAACCTTGCAACCTGGACCCCTGAACCTGTAACCTGAAATACCTTACCCTTCTGCCTGAATGCTCCTGCCGCCTCCTGGAAACCAGGCACGGGCTCTCCAGTTGGAAGTCCTAGCCTGGCTACTGGGACACTCTGCCTGCTGCCTATAAGTACCTGCCCCACAACTCAGAAGTCCCTCA